AAAAATTGCGCTCAATAGAAATATTTTATTTTTTCATTCAGCATAACCTAGAAGACACCATACTATGACAGTCCTAAAAAATGATTCTTTGGTTTGCTTGAAATAAATAAATAATCTTATAAAAATGGAAAAATTAATTTTTTTTTTTTAACAAAATAATATGGGATTAAATTGTTATTTTAAATATGTTTTGCTATGTTAGTTTAAGCAGTAAATAATAATAAAAATTTGAATAATTAAATTCAGGTAAATTATAAAATATAGAGTTAATATATTTATATAATTATAAGGTGTATACCAGAATAATCATAAGACATCATCTACACATATTCAGCGAACGTAATAGGGTTTTCATTGTATTGTTGAATAATTTTTTGGATTTTATGTTTTGAAATATATAAGGTTCATTTATACTATTCATTTTTATGTAAATTTCAGATCGGAACTCTAATATTTTATACATACAATTAAGCAGTTATGCGGTAAACGTTCGGCTTCTCCACCAATAAATGAATAACAATGAATAATAATGTAGGTATTTAAAATATATATAATGGATATCGATGAATTCAATGTCACTTCGATACTATAGTCGCATTTTACAAGAGCCCATTTCTATACTGCCTATATATAGTAGACGCCGCTTATAAGACTCACGGATATAAGGTTCAGTCGCTTATTAGACTCAAAATCGTCTGGAACGGACCGACCGTATCAAAATACATTAAAAAAAAATCGGGTATAAGACTCGACGCTTCGGTTATAAGACTCAAATTTCGTAAAATAAATATTAGAAAATAAACCTTTTTGGTTATAATTTAGAAATAAATTGGTATTGAAAAATTAAATAATATTCGTGTTGATTATTCCTAGTTTCTGTTTGTACCTTATAACGTATAATAATTTTTATAGCAGATAAAAGTTCACATTTATCGCAACGATTATCGTTATTATAGTGAGGTATCTGATTATCTGGCGACTGCACAGTTATCGTAATTACGGGTACATAAATACACATACGTATATACCTAACCTTTATAATTTTTTATTTATGTATAATTTTTATAATATTTTTATATGTAATATTTACCTATTATAATTTTAGTTTTTTTATCAGGATTATTAAATTTATTCAATAATAAAGTATGCAATATGTAATATGTGTTAAAGTATTAAAATCAAAGCAAAATATGTAGTAAAATAAAATTTATAAATACGTAATTAATTTTTTTTTCCACTTCGCCTATAAGATTCATTCGGTTATAAGACTCACTTTGTGCTGGTCCCAAAGTGAGTCTTATAAGCGGCGTCTACTGTATT